TAGTTAGATTAATCGATTAGAAAATAATTGTTTGGCACAGCACTAGTATATTTATTAGTAACAGGCAGAGGGGCTGTAGGTCTATAAGGACGGGGAGCCACCTTGTTTTAAATAAAATAAATGTGTTTCTAAGTCACTGTATAATGTTTAAGTTCTAACTCAGTAACTACTTGGTATTGGTACTCAATATAGGCGAGTACCCAAACTGAACTACTCATACTKGGTTTGAGGAAAACCTGGTATSGGGACACCCCTACTGGATGACCAAGRAAGACATCAAAGTGTCAATAGGCAGACATCAGCTGGATTGTTAGGCTATCATTTGCAGACACAAAATCATGGTTTTCCCTTGTAWTCAAAGCAAAAGGATGATTCAGACTTTGACAGTCTTCAAAATATCTGTTTTTGATACCAACTTTACATTTATTAGGCACTGAAAAGCCTCTAATAGTATTTATGTGTTTCATTTGCTGCAGGTGACCTACCTGGGCAAGATGACAATCTCTGGGACCCAGTTCTTGTCTGGTTGTACCGAGAAAGCAGTAGTGGGTCTGGTAGAGCGCCGAGCCCTGGCCCAGCAGCAAGGGACCTCGCCCTCGAACAACGCCCTGCTTGAAATCCGTCCCTTCCAGGTGCGCCTGCACCACCTGGACGAGCGGTGTGAGGCCTCAACGACCGTGGACGCCTACCAGGTGGCACGCATCGCCTACTGCACGGCCGACCACAGCGTCAGACCCAACATATTTGCCTGGATCTACCGAGAGATCAACGACGACCTGTCCTTCCAGATGGACTGCCACGCGGTGGAGTGTGAGAGCAAGCTGGAGGCCAAGAAGCTGGCGCACTCGATGATGGAGGCTTTCCGCAAGACTTTCCAAAGCATGAGCAGCGACGGCCGCATTCACAAGAGCGGGTCGACGGACGACTTTGCTGAGGACTCATCCACACCTGACGACTCGACCCCAGATGATGGCTGAAGTAGAACTCCCTCGTACTCCTGATATTCGTAAAAACAAATTGATGGGGAGAGTGGAAGGTCCTGCTCTTTTTCATTCCCTCCCAACTGTTTCTTTCAGTTATAATTTGGTACAAACTTTACTGACTCAATGAATCAATACGCCCAGGATAATGAAGTAGATCATGAATAGTGTTAAAAGATGGTAGATGAAACAGATTTACATTTCGGGATAGCAAAGAGCTCCTGCTTTGAGTAAAAGCCCCTAAGAGACCCCCTGGAAAGGTTTCAAACTCTACTTTAATTGCCCTGAAAATAATTGTATCAATAGTTTTATTTCAACTACTGTTTGTATCACACATATCAAATTCTCTGGTTACTAAGCTTTTTTATTACATACGGTTAGTCCCAGCCCACCTGTTGAATATCTGCCATGTAGGGACCAAACATAAATATTCCTGTGATGTATTTCAGGTTCAAACCCAGAGTTCATGAGACTGTTGAAGCACATAAATTCTTTACCTGTTATCTGAATTTCTGTTACAATGCCTTTAGCCTTGATAATAGCRAAGGATGTGGGAGTAAAGCCTTGAAGCACTACTTTTCACCATGATTACCTTGTCCAACCCCTACAAAAACCCTTCTCTGTGCATGGATGATAGAGCTTCTGCCTCTGTCTCCATTTAATAGGTACTGAGTAATTTGAGTATGTGCCCAGTACCTGGAAGAAAATAAGTTCTAAATAGGTCACACTTAAGAAGTTCTCACTGAAGCCGGGGGTTGTTTGAGACACTTTAATCATCCACATCTGACTTTTGTTTTAAATATACCAAAATCCAGGCTAAGATTAGCCTGTCAGATTATGTGCCTCACTTTCCTCTTGCATTGCTGTGTGCATTGTGTGACCATGTGTGCTTTGATGTTTTTTTGTGTAATTGCTTCTGTATTGTTTCCATACAAGTGAGTGAAAACATTTGTTTTTGTGTGAGAGAGAAGCAGACTTTTCTCTTTGCCCCCAAAATATATATTTTTTATGTTTGAAATCAGACATGGTACTGTGAGCATTTGCCACGCTATTCTTGTTTTTTTTTTTTTTTTTTTTTTTTTGTTAAATTTTGTATGGAATGAAAGCTAAACCACGAGTCGGAGCGTGCCAGTTTGTTGACGTGGTGGGCACCTAAAAAGATATTAAAAATCACAGCCATTCGAGTGAGTAACTCGCACCTCCGGGCCTCTGCTGAATGTATGAGTCCGTCGTACTGTGAGCGCCTCACATCGTGTCCGGYCGCTTCAGTCTCCACGAAACTCCACATATCACCAACAGCTTGAAGGGAGCGGGGTAATCCAGAACGTTTCCGCTGCCCTGCATCAGCCACTCCAAGACCGAAGCACCTTCTTTTCTAACAGGACGGTACTGAAGAGACTGAACGCCATTTCCGAAACAACCCAACTAAATGATCTCATGACTGTTTGATCATCACACACATACAAACACAGATTCAAACAATACATCCTGTATGTACATGAATTGTAATGGAGTCTTGCTCGATAAGCTTATGTAAATACAAATGTATCACTTTCCAAATATTACAGCTTAAATGGTGATAGCTATTTTACATAATAAAAAAAAGTATTCAGAACCATCATATGATGCTGAAAAAGTGTGATGAAAGCTACTGTGAATATTACCCGGAGAGCCTGATAGCAGTGGCTGGGAGCCTGTGTGTGTGTGTGTGTTTGTGTGTGTGTTTGGAGAAAACTGAATGTGGCGTGGGGAAGTGTTGCATGACGAGGCCAGGAGTTGGGATGAATGTTTGTGACTCTGTAGGTTACTGTGCAATGTCTGTTTTACAGCTCAGACGCGCTTTAATTGTTCCAACAATGCTACCGTAAGTGTTTTCTATACAGTGTTTGCAAAGATCAAAACACAGTTGCATATAAAGTATTTACCAAGACCAAGCTGGTGTGGTCTGTTTTGTCTCTGATCCACAATTTTCTCTCTTTCTTTTAGTTTGTTCCCCAGTGTCATCGGATGAGAGCTGAAAGAGTCCTTCCTTTTAAATTMTTATTATTTCTGTAAGCTCTGCTGGGTTTTCCCTGCTGTGTCTGCATGTGGGAGGATAAACATCAGGCCTGTTCAGTTTGGATCAGACATGATGTTCTGACAAGGTGCCAGCTGAGATGTAAAGCATAACCTCCACATAAGACACCTGCAAGAATGTGTGTGTGTATGTGTGTGTGTGTGTGTGTGTGTCCCTGCTAGAGTTAGAAAAATGGTTTGCTTCTGAAAGTCCCACCTGCAGCTCAGGATACAGGCGTAACCGGGTCTGATCTTCGGTATCCCAGACCAAAGTCATAAAACAAAACTTTTCCTCCCCCTATTTTTTAAAACATGCTTCAGGTCTGAGTGTGAGACTGCCACTCTTCACATTCCTCAGACGTCCTCAGATCTTTTTTTTATTTAATTGTACTTTTTTCCCCTTTCTTTTTTGTTTGTCTGACGAAACGTGGCAGCCGTTTTCCCCTCTTCAAAGTGCCCACATCAATACCAAGATAAACTGGCTCCTCTCTGCTTGTATAGCTGGCAATCATTTTGCAGCTAAAGAGCTGCAAAGAATTAGATGTAAAATGGATGCTGTGAATGATGTAAACGTGCCGTGAATGAGAATGCTGCCTCCTTCTGGCAAACCCAGCTACTGCCTTTGCTTTTCAACTATTTATGCTGTATGTGTCATTTTTTTCAATAACATAGATTTAATATTTAAAAGACTTAAAAATGACAGAGTTGACTTCTGAAAGCGCATAAAAATGCTTAAATATTTGTAGATTTTTCAGCTCAAAACTAGAGAGCGTAAGCTTTAAATCTGCATGAGATGCTCCATTAGTGAACAAAGTTTTCTGTCTTCCAGCTCACTGTGCTCATGGCTTCACTGTTTGTCTCTTTGATGTGTGCTGAGTTTACACCCTGCCTTTGCGCTCGATTGGGCCCTTGTGTCTGCCTGACCCACTTCCAACGGTGCATCACCGCAGAGGAAGGGTCCTCCTGTCGGGGAGGGCCCCAAAATAAAGGCCACCTCAACCGCTTTGCAGCTCCACCGAGGTTCTCAGCCAGTCAAGTCAGTTCACAATAAACCCTTTGTTACAGCTCCAGTTGGCTGCTTCTCCTTCACCAGAGTCTCAGAAAACCGCCTGTCTATCCACCTGCCAAGGCCCCGCACACATTCAAGGTCAGTTTGGGAAGCGAGTGGTGCCAGTGTGGCCTCTGATCACACTCCCATTTATTTTCTCACAATCCCTCCGTCTTAACTCTGTGTGTCTCTCAGCTGCGTRGACTCAAGCGGTGGGCCTCACGGAGTGAAAGTGTGGTGGAGCTCTGTAAACACACGGTGCATGTGTGTGAAGCACGACCTGTGCACATTCTTTCTGTCTGGAGCTTCACTCAGACACTGACTAAAAGCATGAGAAGCAGAATTACACAGGCTGAAAAATGTTTCCACTTATTTTTAATTGTATTTAAATGTATGCTTTTTGCTGAGGTCACTGAAAACAGGTTTGTTCAGGAAAAAGGCAGGTGGATTTCAAAATGAGAAAAACATTTAAAACTTTTTTGTGTGTTTTAACAGTATGAATAAATTTGACAGTGGAAAATTTYACTCAAGATTTTGAACTGTATTCTAAAAAAAGCAGCTTTTTAAAACGTGCATCTTGGATCATGTTCATATTTAGTCAACTATTTTTATTAAACGATTATGACATGCACTCACTGGCCACTTTATTAGGTACACCTTGCTAGTACCAGGTTTGACCCCATTTTGTCTTCAGAACTGCCTTAATCCTTCATGGCATAGACTCAACAAGGTACTGGAAACATTCCTCATTGAGTCTGGTCCATATTGACATGATGGCATCACACAGTTGCCGCAGATTTGTCGGCTGCACATCCATGATGTGTATCTCCTGTTCCAACACATCTCAAAAGTGCTCTGTTGGATTGAGATCTGGTGACTGTGGAGGCCATTTGAGTACAGTGAACTCATTGTGTTCAAGAAACCAGTCTGAGATGATTCACTCTTTATGACATTGAGCGTTATCATGTTGGGTACACTGTGGTCATAAAGGGATGGACTTGATGAGCAACAATACTCATGTAGGCTGTGGTGTTGACACAATGCTCATTTGGTACTAATGGGCCCAAAGTGTGCCAGGAAAATATCCCCCACACCACTGCACCACCACCACCAGCCTGAACCGTTGATAAAAAGCAGGATGGATCCATGCTTTCATGTTGTTGATGCCAAATTCTGACCCTGCCATCTGAAAGTTGCAGCAGAAATTGAGACTCATCAAACCAGGCGATGTTTTTCCAATCTTCTATTGTCCAGTTTTGGTGAGCCTATGCGAACTGTAGCCTCAGTTTCCTGTTCTTAGCTGACAGGAGTGACACCCGGTGTGGTCTTCTGCTGCTGAAGCCCATCTGCCTCAAGGTTCGACGTGCTGTGAGTTCAGAGATGCTCTTCTGCAAACCTCGGTTTAAGTGGTTATTATGACCCCCGCACGTGAAGCGTAATATTGTTTTCATACTGTCCCCCCCCAGTGATTTTTGGTCAACTGTAGCACAAAAATGGCTGCACCAATCAACATGAAATTTGGCAGGACTGTAAATGAGTCTAACCTACACTGCACCAGCCAACGGTTTTACGATAGACCCCATATTTGAGGAGGGGGCTCCTTTCAAAGAGGGGGTGTCTGGACATGTAAAAATGTGTATAACTCAAAAACTGTTAAATAGGAGCTTCAGATTTCTTTTGTTTAGCTCTGATGAAGCTCTATCCATCAGGCCCACCAATCAGTGCCCCCCCAAACCCCCAATTTTTCTGAAAAAGGGCTATCTGGACATACAAAATGGTTATAGCTCAAAAATTATTAAACATAGGAGCTTCAGATTTTCATTGGTTGTTTAGCTCTGATGAGAGGCTATCCATCAGGCCCACCAATCAGTGCCCCCCATGACCATGTGATCTCGACCTTMACCTTGACAAACAGAATGGTGGTCTGAATAAACAAAAAGGTTGATTATAGCAAAAGTGACTACATAACATAGTGAAAAGGAAAACTCTGAGTTGAATTAAAAAAAGCAAAATGTTAAGCAAATATATTTTTACATGTGTGTTAGAGATCTTATTTTAATTTTTAACATTTTTAANGCTCAGGACAGGGGTAAAAGCAAGGAAAGCAAGGAGTCTGTGGAGCAACAAAAACGAGGAATTAAGACCAAAGTGGTGCAGTTTTATTTTAAATAGACCATAAGTGAATGATTTAGATGTGAAAAAGAAGGATTTAAAAGCATGATATAATACCTTTAACATAATAAATTCAATCAATATTCCCATCATGTGGCATTTGTGCAAACATTTTTATCAAGTTTTTATTACTTTGACTGTAATATTAAAGAAACTTTTGCCTGTAGACAAAATCATTTGTTTTTCTCATGACTGCACAATATATTTTTTTTAATCTAAAAATCACAAAGTTGTTTTTGAAGATTTAAGGGGGAAAACAGCTGCTGAGAAACTATTAAGAAAAATGCAAGCAGTAATGATTTTAGCATTTAGTGTGAACAGCAAACTATTTTACCATCTAAAGTACAGAGTAATGTATTCACCAGAGCAGGGGATGAAGGATCTCCTTCAGACATACAAGCATTTCCTCTGATCATGTCCAGATCCCCTCTCATCCCTCCTGCTTGATGGCTCCCTGAGGCCTCCATGTGATTTAAGATTCCTGCCAAAATGAAATGTTGGCTGGAATGAAGCAGAGGTTCCTGTGCCTTCATGTCACAACACAAGACAGACTATCTATTAACCCAAGCCCAAAGCGTTCAGCACTGAAAATCAGAACTCACACGGATAGAAACAAAACCGGCTTGAAACACGTGAGACAGGAAATTTCTGGGCTGTGATTCACGAAGAGCTTGACCCAGCAAAGATCTTATGGAAGAAGAAACTAAAGCAGCTGCTAGTAATTCATGTACAGTCAGTGGAGATGTGATTATTCTGAACAACATATTCAGTTTATTTATTTTATTTTTATGTTTTGTCTGGCACTTCATAAAAAAAATTCAATTTTAGCTGGAAATTCCTGCTCATAGTGGAAAAATTGCATTAGCTTTCAAGAGACATCCCAGCCTATTTAAAGCAGAGTTGTTTGGAAAAAAAATCAATATGTTTTTGGTTGTAATTCGAACAACCTCTGGAAAAAAGGCATTTACATCCAGCAGGATGGATGAGCTTATGGTTAGTCCAAATGTAGCCAAGACCTTAGAGTGCTGCTGTTTTAAAATAACTCAAATACCCAACATTTCATAGTGATTTAAGAAAACACTGTTCCATAACTTTATACTGCCATGAATTTCATTCTACATGTGCTTCTGTTGCAAGGCTAATATTGGCAGTAGCAGCTAGCTATAGCACTGTAGGTACAGCATGTGGCCAATTTCAGCAGGGATTTCTTATCTCAGCTGACATTACAGTGTTGTGCAAAACTGATGCTGAGTAGAAGCTTCTGAGTGTGAACGTTGGTTCAGATATTGGCTCGACCCCRGAATCACTAACAAAACACATATTTGATGTAAAGTAATTCAATGATCTGAATGCATTCAAAAGCCTCCATARTTCAGTTTACATGGCTGGGAAGTTAGCACTACTTGAAACAGCATTAATTGTAATCCATGACACTTGCCAAAGAATTGATGAAGCCTAATACAAAAAAAAAAAAGAAAAAAAAAAAAAAAAAAAAACACACTCAATACCTACATTAAAAATAATTACAATTTGTGTAACCGTTTCTGTAGTTTATTAGTATTTATTTTGTTGCTGCCATGGTTGGTGATGGTTGAACCCAGTATGCAGGCTACGACCCCAGGATCTCAGAAATGAATTTGACAGTGAGAGCTGAAAAAA